TGCCGGGCCACGTCTTTCGTGCCATGCCAACGATCGGAGACACGAGCTCGAGATGATACTTCAGCTCCCTCGCCTTTTGACTAGCTCGTCTTCTCGTCGGCGGTTCTTCTTCTTGTTGTTGTGTCGTTGTTGCTGCTGCAGTCGTTGCATCTTGTTGCTGCTGCTACTGGTTGCTCCATGGTGTCCGGTTACGACTCGTATGTCGAACAAGAGCCAATCAGTTGACTACAGTTGTGCTGGTTGTTGCTATGACTGCATTACTACTACAGTCGCACTGCTGCCTGTACAAGTTCGAACATGTATGAGGCCTGTCTGAGTATTGCTGCGACTTCTGTTGGTACTAGCCTACTAGCCGTACACGTTCGCTAAACTCCATCGCTGTCATTCCCTGCTTTGCGAGGTTGCGTTGTGGCGACTGCTCCATCGTCCGTTTACGCTAGCACCTGCATCTTGAACCCCCTGGCCCCCTACTTAACTGCGAAGCCTGAAGTTGAGTTCAGGGTGTGGGATTGGGCGCTTTAGCGTAGTATTACTATTGTACTACTATTGTCAATTATTGCAGTAACGATTATAGTATATTTGCAGGATTATCATGATTTCATAAAAAAGCATTCTCCCAGAGTTCAGGACTGTTACACGTAGGAGCTTTGGGTTCAATGCCCAAGGGCCATGAGGAAGTCCGGGTCTTCCTGGTCAGAAGGCGGCTCCAGGATACCTGGTGCTTCGGGCTTGGGCGTCTATGCTTCGAAGCAGTGCGTCTGTGAGATGCTTCTTGTGTTCTGGCAATGGAAACTTCGGTGAGCTGCGCCAAGCCCATGTGACGAGACTGTCTTGCATACCAAGGCTATGTACCACTTACCATCCACTGCCATGGCTGTCTTGTGACAGGCGGCTGGGGGAGATGGGGAAGTGTGCTTGCCCGGGGGTTTTGGCCAGAAACCTGGGCGTACGTTGAAAGACTACCTGCCCAAAGCTCTAAAAGTCCCATAGATCCTACACCACCAAACGCCCCAAACGGTAAATATCCCGTTCAAGCCTCTTCAACTCTGAAAGCCCATCCGACTTGAATCCTCAAAGCTCTTTCAGCCCCGGCCCAAAATCGAAAAGTCTCTGTAAATTCTGACACCCTTTTGGGCCCCGAAGAGTCGAGCCTTTCAGGAACCCTGAAGCTTATACTGTCAACCCCCAAAAAAGGTAGCCCAAAGGAATACAGTCAAGTACAGAAAGTTGGAACATGCATTTAGGAGCCTTCGTGCTAGGATCCCTTATACTTTTTCTTTTACCCCGTTAAGGGCGCCACCAGGACCATGGGCGTTCCAACTTTAAGGCTTCTACTTTGGTGTTGGTACATTCTTCCGACCCCAGCACCCCAGCACCGGGCCTGCATCCGGATCCTCCTCGCTGCCCGGGTCGGAGCAGTGGCCTCGAAGAGTCCGAGGAGGGGCATCAGGGAGAGGGTTTCGACTCACACAGTCGCGCAAGGCAGGCATGGCAGGTTCGGTCTGAGTTTACTACTTGAACATGACATCTACCGGGAACCAGAGAGCTCACACAGTAACTATACAACAGAATAACAGGAGTCAGGGATAGGGTTTAGGGTTTAGGTCGTAGGGATGGGTGGTAGAGTTGGCTGAATCGGATTTCTGGGTGGGGGGTCTCGTGCTTTATCAAAAAAGCGAGTCCAAGGATGTTTGTTCACACATTAATCTGCTGAGAACGGTAGACTGGGATAAGTGTAAACGAGAATTAGGGAATGATGGCATCCTAAGTGCTCAGAAGCTTTGGTGCATTGGGATTGCAGGGTATGCTGCCTCCTTCAAAACTCGATCCGTGTCGCAAAGATGGCGGGTTTCGGGATGCTGGGTTTGGAAAGACCGAGGCTACGGCTCTGAGTCTTTCCGGGTTCTTGAAGCAACAAAATCCTACTCACTCTGGATGGTATACACTACACAAGGACCCGGCTGATTTTCGGAAACTGGTTTATGGACACAGCGTCCCTCTGTTTGTGATGTTATGCCTGTCTTGAGAAAGGTCGGCCCGGGAGAAGGCTTGACACGAAGTCTCGAGAAGTCTTTCTTTGGCCTGGCCCTCCTCGAACTTCTCCCCAAGACATCCCGATATCCCCAAAGGCACCGGCAGAAAAACAGAAACCGGCAAGGAAAACCTCGGAGTTACCTGCTATGAGCCGCCGTCTCAAGCGTCAGCTTCGAAAGCCTTCCCCGAAAAAAATGGCAGCATGCCCCTTCATGTTTCTGACCCACATGGGCTGTGTCGGACTTGGGGTTCTTGGTGGTAGGATCCCTGTTCAAGCAAGTGTCCGAAAGCAAAAAAACGATCACAACTTTGAAACCTCACCACCCAAGAAGCCTCAAGAGCGCTAGCTTCCCATAACCCCCACATCCTGAATGTGTTTGTTTGGTCGCCCGTATGTAAGTAAATCGTAGAACCGATCTCCTACTCCGATCTCCTAACTTTTCCTGACCCGGAATAAGTTATGCATACACCGCCTTTTTAGCTTTAGGAAGCTCAGCCGGGTCTACGGATCCTGAATTTCAGAGCCGGAGAGGCAGCCAGAGACATCCGCCCCACACCACGGCGACGCCCGGGCCTGCCAGCTGGGTTGAAAGAGCTGAGGAAATGGTTCCGTAGCTTTGAGTGACGGGGAAGTGCGCTTAAGACTTCGCACAAGACTTTTCGACCCAACTTTCGTGCAGCCTGTCTCAGTGTTTTACACTGCGAAGCTGTCCAATTGAAAGAACAGGCATGGGAGGACAAGCGGGGCCCAGTAGATCAGAAGATCGGGCATGCATTGCTCTCTGGTGCACCCTACACCAGCCCATCCCCATAAACTACAAATAATGTGCACGCCATTTCTAGACCTAGATGACCCTAGAGCGTAAGTGACGCTACAGCCGCATTTACTTGCCCTCCCCCTGCATTCTGCCACGTACAGCCACTTGCAGAAGCTCCTGTTGAATTCTGCGAGTGCCATCAAGGCGGCTCGCGCAAAGTTCGGGAGCCCGTATTGAGAAGGGATAGTGTGATATGACGTAGAGCATGCGATATCTGACTCTCTTGCGAACCTCGGCACATACAAGCATAAGCAAGCATAGAATCACGCAAGCATACCTCTATCCATCCCTCCATCCGTCCATCCACACATACAGACGTACATGCATACATACATGCATACATACATTCACACATATATATATATACACACATATACATAAACACACGCACATACACACATACACATATACATACATCCATGCATACCTGCATGCATGCACATGCATACACATACCTGCACACATACATACGTACATACAAGAATATGTATATACGTACATGCATGCATGCAAATCTACATGCCTACATACATGGTCTCATGAAGCCCGTCCTGGTACAAAACCCTAGGATTCCTGCGACAGGCATTCCCGAGAAGGCAAATGCACTTCGCCCGGCTGCGGAGTCTCCCGGAGGTCCGGAAGGATATATGTGGGTTTCAGAACATTGGTCTACTTTGTTCCGGGGTCCTTATAGGATCCTGGGTACTATTTTGGACTATTTTCGGGTCCCTTGTTCTCTGAATCTCCCATATGTGGGGACAGATCCCTTTATTAAAGATGTTGAGGGGATATGGCGCCGGGGCTGCAACTGTAATCAGAAGGTGCGTGGTTCAGGGTTCGGCATTTTGGGTTCAATGTAACATCCCTGCCGGGCCACCAAGACGACAACATGCAGATGAGGGCAGTGAGCAAGAGTAGAGGTAACACACAGCAGGACGTCCTGCAAGTTCGAAACAGCTGAGAATGTGGGGACCTCCGTCATAATTCCCTTCTAAGCCTGGAGCCCAATCAAGTCCAAGCATGATTGCCGAACCACAAACCTAGACTGTTAAATCCGAAAGCCTTCACTGCAGTCATTACCGCCCTCATCCCTTTAACCCGGGCCCCACGTTCTCTTCGGAGGGCGGTACGGACGCTCGAAAGCGACAGGCTGTCGGAAGTGGGCAAGGAAACTTGCCGGGGTCCGGAATCATTGAATGACCTGGCCTCTCCCCTCCCCTGAATGACCTTTAGAGTGCTGGGGTTTAGGGTTTAGGGTTTAGACTTTAGGGTGTTGGGGGCTTTGCCGTATAGGCTTCTGATTCAAGGATGAGCCCTTGCGCTTGTCCATGCTTGTCACGGGTGTCTCCGGCATCTAAGCTAACTGGCCTTCTACCTCTTCGTGTGTGCTTTTACCCCCCTGGCAATCCGGACCTTGGCGCCAAAAAACCAAGCCTTCGCGACTTGTAGGACCGGACTTAGGGTCCATTGTAAGGGCCCAGCAAGAAGCACATAAACGTCAAAGGAACTGCTCTGAGAGCCCTCCAGTGGAGGGGTCCAGAGGCCTCAAGAGTGAGTAGGAGTCGCTCTTCTGCTCACGCGCTTCTTTGGGCCCCTTGTATTCCCGACCTCTGGCCAAGGATTCAGAAAAGATGAGCTGCACAACTGCAAGTACCTGGAAAGGTCTGGGGCAATGTCAGTGTACTGACCTAGGGGACTGCCTTTCAGGGACGGCCTAGAGTCTAGAGGTTTCGCTCGGCCTTAGCGACACTCTGGCCCACACAGCAGGCTCTTCAACCCCCTCATGCACTCGTAAAGACTACATGGTATCATCCCGGCTTGCAGCAGTGAGTAGGTAGCTGTGACAGCTGTCAAAGGGAGCCAATGCTCCGCAGGCTCCCAATTCCGTGTGAGCCCGGCTGGGCTGGGCAAAGCCTTAACGGGCCTATCCGTGCAAAAACTCCCACCGTATCTCAGCAACTCCCCCTGAAACGCCTACCCCTGCCGGACCCTACGGCGCGGTGGCCACACCCAAATCGCTTATCCATCTCTCTTCTCGGAAGAACAGAGCTGGGCAGGACGCCCTGCTCTTCACTCCGATCTCCTGATGACAATGAGACCGTGAGCCCTTCCATCGGAGCTATGTTAAATCATCTCCAACATCTCTTTTCAAGCGACACGCTTGACCATGTTCAAGTACTCCCGATATTCGGTCACCGGAACGTGGAGCTTCCAGCGCAGCAAGGAAGTGAAGTAGACCTCTAGGCTGTTGAGCTCCCGAAGTGTAAGGCCGCAAACCCGAGCGTAGTGGGCGTTGCTGAAGAACAGGTCGTCCTGTACCTTTGCAGCAAGGACCGTAGAAACGGCCAGAAGCCGATGGATGGTGAAGTTGTTTACCACAACGACGGGGTTCATCTTTACTGCTCGATCGATGTAGACGAGAGCCAGCAGCAAACACGATTCATGGCACTGGAAGTACTTGGCCAATCGAGTGAGGTACTGCTCGATGCCAATGCCGGGTGCGACCTTCGAGTGGAAGCGAGAAACCATGTCCTGCCTCCCATTCTCCACCTCAATGAAGGACGAGTAGACGGAGGCCAAAGCTTTGCAAAGCTTGCCAACATCCATTCCGATGTCGACTCCTTCGGCTTCCTGCGATCGGTAGCTCGACGACTGGCTCAGGCTTCTCCTCTTCCGGCTTTGGCAACTCCTTTGCTTGTGGCTTCTTTGGCAACCACTTGCGGCCACTCATCTTTCCCTTCTTCTGATTTGGGCCGCGGCAAAGGTAAAAGCTACCGGTCATCTAGGAACTTACGCCCGGCAGGGACGTCTCACGACTCTCTTTGACGCCGAAAGCCGGGAAAGCTAACTGGGAGAACTTGAGCCACAGCAAGTTCCCATTGGTGGAAGGAAGCTCATTTGGCTCAACGAACGGCTCACAGCTGGCAAGGCCCAACCGAGGCCCCCATGGAACGCGCGAGCCTTGAGGTCGATCACCAACGGCGGGGCTGCCTTCTTGGCTTGTCGGAAGTTCTTCGAGTTCCTGCAAAGAGAGATGAGGGTGGACGTATGATTCAGAATGACCCGATACTGCGATAAAGTTTTTGCAGCCAGCAGCATCAGGAGATCGCGGGCCACTACCACGACCAATGCTACCATCGAGTGCTCCTACTCCCACTCCGACGGGTCGTAATCTTCATGCCTACCGTTTGATGCCATGAGCGCCAAGCAGCCGGCGCAAGTACTTGCGCCAAATGTGGCCCTGATACCTTGGCTGTTCAATGAGCACACAAAGTCCCCAAACCTTGCACCGTGACTCGTACCGTTGGCTGTAACGACACAGATTCTTGAAGATGCGCGTTGCAATCTGAACGTTCGAGGAATGGTATTTTCTTTTCGGGCTAGCAGCCGCACCCCGCCCGTTCTGGAGCCTAGGAACTGGAAGACGGCCACCCACGCCTCCGAGCGTTCCTGAGTCTCAGCTGTCATGAATGTTAGGGAAAAGACGCATAGCTGGCTGCGGTTTTAGCTCATGGAGAAATGCTGCCGATGTGGCCTCAAGCCTGATCTGAAGGAGGCGGCATCAACATATTGTTCCTTTTTCTGGGGTTGCTTGGAGGCTCAGAGGTGGAGACAAGTAAGGTTGTAACAAAGGTACAGTAATCACGGCTTGTACATTCAATTGAAGTACTATTCGACCTACCTTGAGCCAACCATAGAACTTGAAGTGAAGCCTAGGAACCCCTTAATGGCACTTGGCCGGGCCACGGACCACATGCCCCAGCCAGGCACAAAGCTGCCGGCCTCAAAGCACCGCTCTGAAACCCTGTGGTCCCTGCTATGTGTAAACATGCCGCTACTTTATGGACGCTCGCTGGACTCTGCATGTCGACAAGAACGTCGGAAGTGTCTCCTCCCGATGATTGTTTCTCGTCCAGGGATGAAAACTTACTGTTAAGCCCCAATCCGCTAAAAAAGAATCCTTGAATGATTTTTTGGGGGGGCCTGCAGGCCACACATTTGCGTAAGTTGTCCATGACTGTCCGGTCTTGTACGGATTGCAGGGCAGGGACCGTTGAAATGTGTTCAAAAATCGGCTAACATCAAGCCCAGATAAGGATCTTGCAGATGCTTTTCGGGTGAAGGGCCGTTTAGGGCGGAACACAATCGACAATTGCAATCGAAAGCCACCGGGCCAACCTCTCGCACATGTCCAGAGGGCCGAGTCCAGCCGATGTCGAAAGACCCAGACCCTCAAACCCCAAGACCCTTCATGAAACCCCTAAAATAATTACCTAAACCCGCTTCATCCCTCTTCCCTAAACCCGTCAGTCTGAGTCGGAACACGCACGCAAAGCTTCGGCTGCGGCCTCCTTGGAGAGCACCTCTACCGGGAACCAGCCACTTCGAGCATCGATCATCAAGCGGGGCAGATCCTGCAGCTGGTCTCATCTGAAAAGTATATGTATATCTTAGCTTACCATTCATTCTACAAGAGTGCTCGAATGTCTCCGTCGAAAGATTCTCACTCGCTGCAGGTTGGGTTTTGGGATTTCACCAGGCGGCCGTGTCGAAGGGATCCCCGCTGCGTGGCTTCCCGGAGCTGCGAGAGGCGGTGCGGGCACGTTGCATGGCTGGGAGCTCGGGAGAGGTTCAAGAGGGCACCAAGCGCCCTTTGAGCATGCAAAGGCTGAAGTGCAGCCAGCTAGTTTGTTGCTTTTCATGTTCCCAGCGATTGGAAGCAGTGCGGCTGGTGCTCGTCCCTGGTCTGCCGAAAGCTTTGTGTGACCCACAAGGGACACGTGGTTTGCTGCAAGAGTCAAGGGAGACCCAAGCCACAAAATCTGAAACCCTCAGGCTCTCGGCATAGATCACGCAGAAGCCAAACTGAGCAAGCCGCAAACAAATGTGAATAACAAAGGCTGGTTCCAAGTCGTGAGGCTGTCAAGGTATCAACCCGCTTCATTGCCACGAATTGGTGCCACAAGCGTCGCTAAAGGGCTTTCGTTTGGGACTCCAAATATGAACCTCCTAGTTGTGCCTGCATGAGTACCGGCGGCATCAATGCGCTCAAGACGAACACTAGAGAAACATCGATGTTAACAATATGTTGTTGTTCTGCTTCTCGTGCTCCTTTGCATGTCCTGGAAACCCTCTGCAGCTAAATCCTAAACATTCCTAAACCCTAACCCCCCCCCTCCCGCAACCCCCCGAATCAAGCCCTTTAATTCCCCGAAGCCTTCAAAACCACCCTGCTCAGTGGCCGGCCTTTTGTAGCGGCCCTGGCATGGGCACCGACCGCCGCGGCGAGCGGAGGATCGGGGCGGCGCTCGGCGGCGTCCAGCTGGCCCTGGGTTCCGAAGGTTTAGGGGTATTTAGGGGTTTAAGGGGGTTTTAGGGGTTTTCAGGAGTTTTAGGGTTTTAGGATTTTATTTAGGGGTTTTGGGAGTTTCGGGGTTTAAGGCAAAGTTTAGGGCTTTGGGGTTAGGGTTTGGGGGTTTATGAGGGTTCTAGGGCCCATTCTAGGGCTTCAGGCCAGGGTTTGGAATTGATGGTTGTCCTCCTGCATTGCTGTGCGAGTCGCTTGGCACGGTTTGGTGCTTGGGGTTTGGGGCTTGCTTTTTTGTCACGTCCGCTTCGTCGGGATAAGACGAGAAAGGTTACCCATTTACTAACCGAAACCCGGAGACACAAAACTCAAAAGCAACTCAAAGACAAAGACCAGTTTCACGTCAGATGGTGCATCAGTTGCTGCTACTCAGACTAACCACATCACGTCAGCTGATCGTCAGCTCCTTTTACACCTGCACTTTTCGTTCCACGGCAGTGCTCCCACACATCATCTCGTCCAGATCACACTGGCTCGTCAAACTGCCAGCAGATATGTAGAGCTAGCTGAAGCATGTATCCCCGGACGGGGGAGTGCATCGCACTGTGTTACGTCGTTTAGGCTCCTAGAGCTCGAACTGATTGTCCCTTCAGCCGTATGATGCGACATAGCGCGATGACCGATACTGATGCTGCAGGACGCCCCGTGAAGAGTCTCCAATCATCTTTCGTTTTTGCATAGCAGCGGGCCCTCCTGCTTCCTACTGAGCGATCCTACCCTCACACCCCACACAGCATCCGGCCCTGGCATTCCGGGCTCCCCGGCGTAGATGCGACAAGCCGCGTTGGTGACACGGAGCGCGGGTTGCTCGCCAAGGGAACACCTGCTGTCCACAGCTCTTGAACAAGACCAACATTACCACATATGAGCGCGAGAGCAGGGTCCGCCTACGACTTTTGAAGCCATATACTGACACAATAAAATCAAGGTAGGATGTTCGGACTTTAGACTGACCGAGGATATGTTTCGAATCAACCTGCCAGCACGTGACAGCACAAGGTGAGCCCATTTTGGGCGGGCTCCAGCCTGCTAGGATTCAGAGCTTAGCTCACATACCTTGCCAAGAGAACACATGTAGGACCTATGTAGGAGAGGCTTGTGGTTGTGTACTTCTCTTTGCGTCTATGTCGTGTTACGATGGCTGTGAGCTGTGAGGAATTGTTCTTGATTGACAAGCCAACTACTCCAAACCTCAAAAGCCATAGAACTCGGAAACCCAAATCTCGCAAATCTGGGGAGGCTCCAGGCATACCTTTAAGCCTAAATTCCAAACTCCAAATCCGAACCTCAAGACCGTGACAACAATGAATCCCAAGACCCTACAATGCTCATTCTACCAACCTTTTTTGAACGAGGTCTCTCTGAAGTGCCTCCAAGCTCCAACCTGAATACCAAACCCTGCAGCTGTTTCCAGATTTTAGAAATGCTACCCTTTTTCCACAGGCTTGAACTGAGCTCGCCCGGCCAAGTCCCTCGCAGCACATCCACAGAAATGCTACCCTAAACCCTACACCCTAAGCTAAGGGAAGAGCTGGTGACTGCCCGCCATGGGGTCGGTGCTGTGATGACCTCCCGGGCCGAACACGAGCAGGAGGCTAGCGGCATGTTCGGCGAGGTGCATATATACATACATGCATAGATTACAAGTACAAACATACATAGATACTTACATGCGGAAATTTATAGACACACACACACACACGCACTTGGCATATAGTTGCACACAGCTATGCAACGATATGCGCATTGTGTGAGTGAGCCAAGTGCTGGGGCAAGTCTAGGAGGCACGGTGTCGGTAGATCATGGTAGATCTTATACAAAGACTATGCGTGTTAGTGTGAGTAGGCAATACTAGTAGTAATGCCAACACTGATGCTAAAGGTCAAGACTCTGTGGACAAAGCTGACATCACGACCGCAGTATGGTTCCTCGGACGGGTTGTCCAGGATGTTTTTGTGAACGTGAATCGAGCACATTCCGGCCTGTTCATCTATCCGCTAGTTCAAGCTTTGGTGTGATGTGCATCAGCAGCTTAACGTTCCGGAACCCAAGCGTCCTAAGCTCCGTCCGGTTCAGCCCAACGAGGCCGAAACCAGGGATGTGTTGCGAGAGTCCCTTCCCGGCCTGAGGGTTGTGTGCCACGTGTGCCTCAGTACTCAGAGCCTCTCTCTTCCCAGGGCCAAACACAAGTAAGGTGCAGGTTGAGTCCCAAACAATGAGCTCGAGAGACCCGGTGGTG